AGAATCCAACGGCATATATGTGGAACTCTCACTACATCTCAGCTTTTGGAAAAAGAGTGTAAGAGAACCTCAGTACATGTTGGTACAAGAAGGCTGGCACATACTCATACTTATGTACATGCTCATAATTCTGAGCAAAAGCAAAACAGGCATTGTCACACTTGTGCAAACATATTAGCGAGTGCAGAAAACTGTGCATGCACATGTGCACACGTATAGGCACTGGCACCAAACTGTACTCTGACATGGATGGATTGCTGAGTTGTCTTTATCTAGTTCCTGCCTTACCTGCTCTTCCTGCTTTACATGAGCCTTGATCTGCCATACCTGCTTACTTATGTACTTCTCAGTCTCCCTTGACCTGTCCTTGGATTTATGAATTCCTACTGTGATCTTGGCTTGTATTCTGACCAGGGGCAAACTGACAACTCATGGGGCCCCCGGGCAATAGGGATCATGGGCCTGTGTCCTTGCCCAAACTCAAAAAAGCATATGAAAAGGGTACCAGAGGCATCTCATGCAGCCCCCTACTGACCCCAGGCCCTCGGGCGGTGCCCGAGTTTCCAAATGGTTAGTCCGCCCCTGATTCTGACTCTGCTCCTGTCTTAACCATTTCAATACCGGTCGGCAAGTGGTTAAAGTGGAGATCCAGTTAAAACTTAAAAAATTAAGTAAATTTTTGTAGCTGCTAACTTAACCAATTTAATGCCGGGCAATTTTACACCTTCCTGCCCAGGCCAGTTTTCACGTTTCAGCGCTCTCACACTTTGAATGACAATTGCGTGGTCATACAACATTGTACCCAAACTAAAATTTTATCATTTTCTTCACACAACTAGAGCTTTCTTTTGGTGGTATTTAATCACCGCTGGGGTTTTTATTTTTTGCTAAATTAACAAAAAAAGACCAAAGATTTTGAAAAAAACACGTTTTTCTTTGTTTCTGTTATAAACGTTTACAAATAAAAAATTGTTCTTCATAAATTTAGGCCAAGATGTATTCTGCTACATGTCTTTGGTGAAAATAACCCAAATTAGGATGTATTATTTAGTTTGTAGGAAAGTTATAGAGTTCACAAACAATGGTATAGATCTGAAAATTTATCAATCCTGAAGTACTGACAGCCAATCTAATTTCTTGAGGTCCAGGAATGTCAGAGCAGTACAGATATCCCCAAATTACCCCTTTTTGCAGAGTAGACAGTCCGACGTACTTCATAAGAGGAATGGCAAGTTTTTTGAAGTTGTATTTTTTTTGTCATAATTTTTCGGAAAATGAAAAAATAAAAAAAATAATTTTCACTATTTTTTTTTACATACTGTCACCAGTGCAGTACAGCATCATCATATAACTGGCATAGCGGTGAACAGGGACACTGACTGGTGACAGTATGAAAAAAAAAATATATATATATTATTTTATTTATTTTTTTTATTATTTTTTTTAATTTTTTATTACTTTTTTATTTTTTTTTAAGATTTTTTTTCATATTTTACTATGACCAAAGTAGTACAATGTTACCATAGTAACATTGTACTACTTTGGGGAAGTGATCAGTATTTTTTTTTTTTTTACACAATTTGCTTATAGCAAAGAATTACTTTGCTATAAGCAAGCATTTACCTGAATGACATCGATTCATTCAGGTTTGTTTTTGTTTTTTTGTGCTTAGCTGTGATTTGGCCACAGCTAATCACATGACATGTGCATGTGACCTGCTGTGACCATTCACAGCTAGGCACTAGTATACAATGGATAGCATGAATGAAGCCATCCATTGTATACAACTGTCATGTGACCTGCTGTGATTGGTCACAGCAGGTCACATGGTACCGGCAACGGGGGCCGGTACTCACTCAGATCTGTCATCGGCCGTGTCCGAGGTACATGGCCGGTGACAGATCGAGCCGCTGCGCGGCTCTGCAACCGCGCGAACTGCGCATGTGTGGAGGACGACAAATGGCGTATACCCCGGAAATCTACAGCACTTTTGCAGCCGCCAAACGGCTATAGGGCCGGGCGGCTCATGGTTAAAGAGTATGTAAAATAGTGGCTACTTACTACTTATACTGTATATATCAAAAACCCAAAAGCTGTCTCACCAGAGTCTAACGACAGTTCAGGTGGTGTTCACGGAATCTAAACCATTCAATACAAAATAATATAGGTGTGAGAACCCACTGGGATTCCCTACCAGACAAGAGGCTCCAATAGTAACTACTATTGGAGCCTCTTTTCTGGTGAGGAACCCCCTGTGGGCTTTCACACCAAATGTATTTTGTTCTGTTCCTATCTTACATTCCTGTACCGCACTGCCCAGCTGTGTACCAATCCAGGTTGTATCTTGACTCTGTCTTTGCCTGATGTTCCTGTACCTTGATGCCTGGCTGTTGATGACCTTTTGTGTTGTGTCCTGGCTACACTCCTGTCTGCCAAGCAAGTGTCACCATGTTCCAGTTCCTGGTTCCTGCCTGGTGATCTACGGTCATCTGTTTCCTGCAAACCCAAGCTGGTGCTACCTGCTACACCAGCCCTCGTGCCACTTTGAGTCCTCACACTCCCTTTCATCACTACCAGGGATGTTGGACAAAAAGTGCAAGAGAAGTCCCCTCTCCAGTTTGATCGACACAAGGTAAATGACAAGGAGTCAGTAAGGCCTTAAAACTTTCATGAGCAGTTTGCTAAATATTAAAAATAAGAGTTGGCTACAAATTTGTTCATGGAACTGGGAGAGGATAATATAAAGTCTTGTAAACTCCAGCTGGTTGTGGAACAATGATCACATATTTAGTGTATGATCAGACCCCATGTGTTAGATCATCTGTTTGTCTTAGGCACTGCAGTCTGTCCTAATAGGATACCTCTGTTCCAAAGTGTCTGCTGTGCCTACCAGTGTTATTATATTAGGACCCAGACTACAGTGCCCACTACCAATGGAGCTAACACTATCAAGTGCTGAAGAAGGGGGAGCCGCAATCCCCTACAACATGTTGGATATGTTTTATGTCATACACTAATAAATTACTAAAGGAATTTGTTTCACATAACATCATAATAAACACAATGCCATTTGTTTCCAGAATATATAACACCCAGTAGGTCTGATTGAAAGGATCAACCAATAAATAATATAAATAAAACCGTTTGTATCATAAATAGGAATATTTTAGAGTATGTGTTTTTTAAAGGGTTAGTCCATCTATTCAGAAAAAAATGAAAGGTTGAACTAACACCATACACCCTGCCTCCAGGTCCCCGCTGTAGTTACCACTGTGGGTGATGATCTGTCAGTGCCTACGCAGCCAGTGCTCCACTGACTGGATCTAAAATCCCTGCTCTTCTCCCGCTTTTTTCTGCAGCACTTCTGGGACAGATCAATGATGCTCTGTGCTTGTGCTGACCAATCAGAATTCCTCTGATCCATCTTGAAAGCCCTGCTGAAAGAAGAGGGAGAAGTGTGGGGATTTCAAATCACCAGACAGCTACACCAGCTGCATGGGTGCTACCAGCTACCTCATCACATATAGAAAAAAGTGCAGCAGGGACCAGGGGTAGGAAGGGTGTATAGTGTTAGTTCACCTTTTCATTTTTTGTGAAAATGTGACCTTACACTTTAAAGTTAAGCCAACAATTGACATATGCTTACAACCACACAAAATCATCAAAGTCAAATCTGTTGTGCCATTATCACTAGAGATGAGCGAATTATTCAAAAATTTGGTTCGGCTGATTCGCCGAATTCGCCGAATAAATTCGCTTCGAGCCGAATATATTCGCTCTAGGCTTCAGAGAGCCTTTATATTACAGTGCAGAACACTGTACCTTTAATTTAAATGCCCTTGGAGTCTGCTGGGGAAGAGAAATAATACTGTCAGTCAGTATGACATGCAGATGAGTGCCGTCAATCTTAGAATCACCGCACCGCACACTTCACTCATTTGGGCAGTCACGGGGCCAAAACCAGAGTGTGGAGCCACAGTGTGGCGGTGGAGGCAGCAACAATGGGAGGCCATACAGCACCCTATGACAAAATGGAACCCACCAGCAGTGTGAGGAGACCTGAAAGTGGCACATGGCAGAGTGTGGCGATGGAGACAGCAGCAATGGGAGGCCGTACAGGGACCCATGACACACTCTGGACCTGGCAGCAGCATGAGGAGGCGGTACAGGGGCCCATGACAGATTACGGGCCTGGCAGCAGCATGAGGAGTCGGTACGGGGGCCCATGGCAGATTACGGGCCTGGCAGCAGCATGAGGAGGCGGTACAGGGGCCCATGGCAGAGTGGCGGAGCGTAAGCAGCTAAAATTGAAGGCCATACAGAGGCCTATGTTAAAAAGTCCCCCCAGCAGCAGCGTGGGGAGACGACTATCAAGAGTCCAATGGCAGAGTGGCGGAGCAGAAGCAGCTTCAATTGAAGGCCATACACAGGCCTAGGTTTAAAAGTCCCTCACAGTTAATTCCAATAACGAAACTCTACTCCTCCGTGCAATCTACTTACGAGACCCTGGGCAGGTCTGGGTCCAATTTGTGGTAGAGACTGGTTTTGTTCAGCCATGCTTGAGCGAGTAATAACAGGTCTGTGCTGCCCTTTGGTGTCTGGCTTAATGCGCACAACACTGAACGTCCCAGCGTTTGTCAACGATTTGCCGTTAAGTGATGCAAACCCGCTGAACCACGTTCATGAGGAGCCGGTACAGGGGGCCATGAATCAGTATGGACCTGGCAGCAGCGTGAGCAGACGACAGAGGCACATGGCGCAGGGTGGCGGTGTAGGCAGCATTATTCTGAAGCCATACACAGGCCTAGGTTAAAAAGCGGAAGCCGTCAGCAGCGTGAGCAGACGACAGAGACACATGGCGCAGGGTGGCGGTGGATGCAGCAGTATTCGGAAGCCTAACACAGGCCTCGGTTAAAAAGCGGAAGCCGTCAGCAGCGTGAGCAGACGACAGAGGCACATGGCGCAGGGTGGCTTTGGAGGCAGCAGCAATGGAAGGCCATACAGCACCCTATCACAAAATGGAACCCACCAACAGTGTAAGGAGACCTGAAAGTGGCACATGGCAGAGTCTGGCGATGAAGTCAGCAGGAATGGGAGGGCCGTACAGGGACCCATGACACACTCTGGACCTGGCAGCAGCAAGAGGAGGCGGTACAGGGGCCCATGGCAGAGTGGCGAAGCGTAAGCAGCTTAAATTGAAGGCCATACAGAGGCCTATGTTAAAAAGTCCCCCCAGCAGCAGTGTGGGGAGACGACTATCAAGAGTCCAATGGCAGAGTGGCGGAGCAGAAGCAGCTTCAATTGAAGGCCATACACAGGCCTAGGTTAAAAGGTCCCCCCAGCAGCAGCGTGGGGAGACGACTATCAAGAGTCCAATGGCAGAGTGGCGGAGCGGAAGCAGCTTCAATTGAAGGCCATACACAGGCCTAGGTTAAAAAGTCCCCCCAGCAGCAGTGTGGGGAGACGACTATCAAGAGTCCAATGGCTGAGTGGCGATCCGGGAAGTCAGCGTTGTGATTGCAGATGCAATGCAGAGATTCTATGAGGTGATGCCGTGGGTGCGAAGAAGATCATATACCGTCGTACTTCCATCCATAAGACGGAACAACCTGCGAACCGGGAGCTTTATTGCCCTGACCCGTTGAGCAGCTTCTGGGATACCCAAGAGGCCCATGGCAGAGTGGCGGAGCGTAAGCAGCTTCAATTAAAGGCCATACAGAGGCCTATGTTAAAAAGTCCCCCAGCAGCAGCGTGGGGAGACGGACTACAAGAGTCCAATGGCAGAGTGGGCGGGAGCGAAGCAGCTTCAATTGAAGGCCATACACAGGCCTAGGTTAAAAAGTCCCCCCAGCAGCAGTGTGGGGAGACGACTATCAAGAGTCCAATGGCTGAGTGGCGATCCGGGAAGTCAGCGTTGTGATTGCAGATGCAATGCAAGATTCTATGAGGTGATGCCGTGGGTGCGAAGAAGATCATATACCGTCGTACTTCCATCCATAAAAACAGGAACAACTGCGAACCGGGAGCTTTATTGCCCTGACCCGCTGAGCAGCTTCTGGGATACCCAAGAGTTTGGCTTCTGTGGGGAATATGGTTGAAAACTGAAACTTAAAGGCATGTTGACGGAAGGGCACCAGTGTCAGTGCTCCAGAGGGAATATAGCTTCAAAGCTGACACTTAAAGGTATATCGACGGTCAGAGACCACAGGAAGTGGAGCTTGCGTCTTAAATCGACTGAATGTGGCAGATGTGAAACGTCTACGGGCCGTATATGAAATGGGTTGTTCCTCTTTCTGGAATAAGTGTTGGAAATGGCCACTCTTTTTGGTGTGGCGTTTTGTCTATTTAATTCCGATAACGGACTCTACTCCTCCGTGCAATCTAGTTACGAGAACCTGGGCAGGTCTGGGTCCAATTTGTGGTAGAGACTGGTTTTGTTCAGCCATGCTTGAGCGAGTAATAACAGGTCTGTGCTGCCCTTTGGTGTCTGGCTTAATGCGCACAACACTGAACACTGTGTCCCTGAGTAACGATTCTGTGTCCCTGAGTAACGATTCTGTGTCCCTGAGTAACGATTCTGTGGCCCTAAAGTCTCTGTGGCCCTAACTCTGTGGCCCTAACTCTTCCCTTAATACACACAGGTCTGTCTCTCTTGAATGACCGGAGGCTAATGGAGAATTCTAAGATGGCCGCGATTTATAGCTCCACCATTACACAGTGCTGGTTGGCTGCTGATTGGCTAATGCGATCACATGTCATGAATGCATTATGGGTCAGCACGGCCTTGTCTGCGCGCCTTCCCAGAGATCCCCGCCCCATCTTCTCTGTCCATTTTCTCCGTCGCCACACATGTCGCCACCATTTTTGGGAAAATTCGATTCGTGCATCCGAAGTTTGCTAATCTTCGGATTCGTCGCGAATAGAATTTTTCCAAATCTTCGGAACGAATTCCACTTCGTCATGTTCGATTCGCTCATCTCTAATTATCACATATTGCATAGCGGGAAGAAGCGTTCCCACTCACAATTTTTGTTGTGCAATTTTCATACACTCCAATGGGTTGCCCTATGTGGTTTGTAAAAAAAAAATGCTCCTGCAACTTTTTGGGGTGACAAGCTTAGCATAATTTTTAAACACATTTTTGCATTGTAGCAGGAAACCAGTGACATACAAAAGAATATGCTATGCAGGTAGAATTTAACCCAAACTCCAATTCTACAATGCTACATTTCTGCTTACTACTAAGCACTATGCTACCTCTAGACTGAACTTTACTTCCGCTAATCTGGGATTTATGCAGGTGCCTTAGTGTGCTGCATAATTCATTTATTCTTGGTGTGTACAAACGAAGTGTCTTATCTTTATTAAGAGTGTTTATGTATCAAAAAGTAGTCTTGTTTTTAGTAGTAGGATAAATTTATTCACTCATAGTTGCACTTAATCTATATTATTGTTGTCACATATGATGTAAATTTTAGCAGGAAATGTTTATGACCAAATACTTTTTTGTTGCCATTTCTGGCAATTTGTATGAGCATATAATCCATAAAAAGGAAAATGATCTGTATAAATTACATTTTTATAAAATAGATTTTCTCTGCTCTCCCATCAAGGTCAAAATTTTGCAAGTAAATATTACCTAAAGCGATAAAGTCCCATGTACGGCACCTCTCAAACACTTCATGCCATGTATTTTAGAATAAATGTGTTAATCTATGCTAATCTGATTCAACACTCTTCAAACAATTACATTTATTTTTCATCTTACTTGGCGCCTTGTCTGCTCACAAATAGACTGTACCGCGCATGATTTTTTTGCAATGGCAGGCAGCTGGAACGCAAATATAAAAAAAAGACAATTTAATTTAATTTTTCCATTTCAGAACTCTGAAATATGTTTGAACAATCCATTATGTTTTATGTTCAATTTCCATAATATTATATTGGTAAAGTAATACTACACTGTGCGTATGACCTTATCTTCTTAAGTGAATCAGAGTTAAATTTTCATGTGAAGGGTAACACTTATAATAATTTATTGCAAAAGAAAAAATGGGTTTCTGTAGAAAAATCAATAATGAAAATGAAGAATAGAATGGCCTGTTAAATGAATACTAATGCCTTTAAAAAGTTCAACCAGAAGCATTTGATAGCACTAAGAAATAATAATTTTATTTCTAGTATGTTTTTGGGGTTCCTAACTCAAACACTGCACTTTAATGTTACAATATTTTTTCCTTTTTTAATAAAATTACTCAGTGACAATGGAACAGGAAAAAGGTGTATATTCCACTCTCATAAAACCCATGGGTGGAAATTGTTTTGTGGTAACCTGTGCCACTGAGTAATTTTGTCGCTGTAAAAAATAACATTGTCTAACTGTTTAATCAGTGTTTAAAGAGAAACATTTACTTTTATTTGGTCAAGGCCAGTTAAAGACCGTGATGTGCCCAAGCAAACATCTAGTAGGAGGTCCCCATCCCATCTATTCATTTCCACAATACAGAAATCATAATAATACCAATACAGAAACAGAGAGGGAGGAAGTTAGCAGGATTGTGGACCATAGATCCCAGCATGAACACTGTAACTTTTAGATCTGCATATTTTATGTCTTTTTAAACCACTTTGTATGCTGAGCAAGAGGCCAGGAAAAAGCATTGAGGCAAATTATATGGCGGTCTGGTGCTTTCTTTATTAAGTGTATGTAACAATTCTAACTGTAGTAGATATTCAATCTCTGTGACCAGGTATAACTGTGTTTGTATATTTCCTTCTGCATGTACATGCAAGAGCACCAGCAGCTACTCATAGAGCAAAGAAATTATGGGCGTGATTTAATAAAACTGGAGAGTGCACTCACTTTCACTCACTTTCACTCACCTGGGTCGCAGACCAGTTGATTCTACTAGTCTTTGCAGAGTAGTAGAAGAAATAACATGTGTGTGCATTGCGCTGTTGGCAGAAAATGAGTGACAGGAATCTGAAGCAGGGGATTACCATCAAATGTTGTGTGAAAATTGGCAAATGTGCGAATGAAACTTATGGTGAACTTATGGTGAACATTCCATAAAGAAAGCAAGTTTTTCTGAATGATGTTTAGGTGGTTTAAGGAGAGGCAGGAAGATTTCCACAGTGATGCAAGAAATGGGCAGCCAAAAAACACAACATTGCTACTTGGAAATTCTAAAAAGGTTACAGGACTCTAGAAGAAAAGACCAGAATTCTGGCCTGACAAGTGCATTCTCTACTATGACAATGCTTCTGCACATAAATGCGTTAAATGTTCGTGAGCTTCCTGGCCCAGAAATCCATTCCAAAACTTGATCAACCACCCTATTCCCCTGATTTAGCACCCTGCTAATTTTGGCTATTTACAAAATTAAAAAATGCCTTAAAAGGACATAGTTTTGATGACCTTCCGGATATCCAGCGCACCACAACAAAGATACAGGGCATTGTTCTGGAAAATGAACTCCAAGAATGTTTCCAGCAATTGGCACAGTTGTCTTGAAAAGTGAGTTGCTTCACAAGTGGACTACTTTGAAGGTGATAACAGCCATTAGCGTACAGGTATACAAACATTTTTCTTTACAGTCCTTTCTGGGAATTTTCCTTACGCTACAAAAAAAGCACAGTAATAGTATACATATGTGAAAGAGTGTGGGTTTTTTTTTTTGCAAGGATGCCCCGTATTTTGGTGATTAATGGGAGATATATTGGTGATTGATAGGAAGAATGCCCCCTTATGTTGGTGGTCAGTGTGAGAATGCAGCATTCTTTCCACTGACCACCAGAATAAGAACATTTTTCCTCCCACTGATCAGAAAAGTAAGGGGCATTTCTTACATTATTAGTTATTGAGAAAAATAAAGTCGGTAGTTAACCGCTTGCTGCCCTGCCACTGTGTATATACGTGTGCAGGGCGGCAGTGGAGCGCAAAACCACGTTTAAAAACGGGTTCCGCGCTCCCGACACTTTCGCCGGCAGGGGGCGCGCGCGCGCGCTCCCGCCGACCCGCGGGTGATCTGATTCGATCCAGGAGGGATCAATCATTAGATTTCAGCCAGTGATTTCTGGCTGAAATCGGATGATCGGTCCCTGTCCTATCCTGTCCTGTGTTGATATTTACACAGGGCAGGATATGATGTCATTCTTCTCTGCCTGGACACATTCCGTTCCAGACAGAGAAGAAGAGACATTTAAACGTGAGTAAAAACAGCACACTGACAGTTAGAACAC